CTATGTGTCCCCAGTTATTTACAAACACCGGAGTGATCACGCGATCACTCCGGTGTTTGTGCTGCACAGAGGATCGGTAAATATCAATGATACTTATCGATCCTCCATACGGCCACGCACAGAGCCGGAAACTGACAGGATGACAGCGGCTCCGTTCTCCTCACCGCTCAGCCATCCTGAAAGTTGTGGCTTCTTCCCGCCAGCCGACGCTTGCAACTCCACCCCAACCCCGGAGATTTTTTTTATCCCCGTTGCCACAGCCTACAAGCGGGGGACAGCAGCGGGGATCCATCGAGTCACAGATCCCTGCCTGGAGCGGCTCCAGGCTGGATCCCCGCTGCAACAGACCCTACAAGCAGCGGGGATCCATGGAGTCTCTCATCCCTCCCTGGGATGGCTCCAGGGAGGGATGAGGGACTCCAGATGCCGGCAGCGGAGGTGCCGGCAGGTGGGGCGTCCGGTATTTTTGAAAATAGCGGTCATCAGCGGCTTGTGAGCCGCTGATGACAGCTATTAATTTAAAGGGGACAGTCTGCTGAACAGTTCTACTATAAGCTGATGGTCGCTAAAGCGACCATCAGCTTATAGTAGAGCTGTAAATGCCAGGTCCGTAAGGCATACTGAGCTGGCATTTTGTAGCTCCGCATGCCGTACATCCTTGGCAGCGAAAGGGTTAAACCTCTCCACTTTCCTCATTGCCAAAAATGGGAGGTGATCTGTAGTCGAGCAGGGGAGAACGCAAGCAGGGCCGTCAGCTGTAAACATACACATAGCAATGCATTTTTATTTTGCTCAGATATACTCTTTAATGAAACTTGAACGAGGAGTTATGGCAAATCAGCAAAATAATGATGGGATTTGGTTAGGAGTTCTTGTGATTTGGTTTTAGCAAAGTGTTACCAGTACTTTGCATTATTTGCACTCCACAACAGAAGCTTTGGGAGCTGTTACATGCTGGAAACTCTGCTGGGAAATGACTTTTTCCTCTTCGTGAATTAAAGAAAAATGTTTTAGAAGCAGCATAATAAAAGACTAAATTGTTTGCCATCCTCACACAATTTTACACGTTTTCCCATGTGTCAGGCCGTGTAGACTTGAGGCCTCCGCCAAATGAAGTGGTTAATTCTGATTTGGGCCTCACTGACTGACTTGGAGCCATAGCAACCCGTGCAGCACTGGAGGACACTTGCTAGACACAGAAAGCCTTTCACAAGGCTGGCTCAGCCACAAAGAATACCAAAATCCTCCGTATATTACTCAGCATATTAACGGTCATGCCTTCCACTCAAACTGCACCATGGTGGGAAAGTCGACATGGATAAAATCAGGCCTGCAAATCCCAAAATCTAAGAACTAGAAAACATATCAAGTACGTGAATTTTTTTTTCTTTTCTGGGGGGTGGCAAAGCACTGTTCACCTATGTCATGAAGCACCCTGGGTGTGTGAGTGAA